AAATTGTAGTGCATATATTACATCTTCATCGGATAATATGAGGTCTAGCAAACTATCAGAGCAGCCTAAACGTGCATATTTTCGAATAAGTTTTACTGGAGCACTCAAATTGCGAATCAATGGAGATAAACCAGAAAGATTATGCGAGGTCATTGCAAACACGAAAACGAATAAACAACGTAAATAATGATTCAACGTATACACGGTATAAAAACACTTTATATATTATTATAAGAGGTATATTTACAAAACAAAGTAAAGTTTTCTTTTTTTTTTAGAATAGAATAATTCCGATATGATAATATTATACCAGAGAGGAATATTAACAAATACTTATCAACTAAATATAAAACGTTTTTTTAAATGGAAATAAGATACTAAATGTCATAAATATAAATTTTTGGAAATTATCTTGGTAATACATATAAAGAATAAGAAAATAAAATATCACAATTTTTATACATATTATTTTCAAATATTATATTGTTATAATTATAGCAATTTTTCGATTCGTATTAGGAATCCATCGGAGGTGGAACATGTGTATCATTATATATACGAAAGATGTATCAGCATTACCGAATTATATCTAATGAATACTTTACAGGTTTTATAGGCACTACATCATGTCGATCACTGCTTGTCTTTTAGCAATGAAAAACATGACTTTCACCAATGTTTCCGATATAACACCATCAAACCAACTACGACGTATTCGTGTGAAAGTACTACGTATTTTCGAGCACATCGGTGAACCTGACAACATTCTAGATTTGGTGTTGGTTAATAAAAAGGTATTCGGTGACTCCGTATGTTCCGTGCATATCACTTCTCTGATACACATTTTTTGTTTTTACAGGGTGATAAAATACATGGATCAATATCAAAAGGGTTTATAGACAGTTTTACAAAAGAAGTGAAGCAAGGAGATTCAATTATTCTGTATCGTTTTGGTGTAGTCCCTGTCATTGGAGACTTGAGACCGACGTTGCACAACTATAAAATAATATGGAATTCTCAAACTTATTTTTCAAAGCTCCCTTTCTATGATAACAACAACTATCTAAGTATTGTTGAATTCGATAACATACACAACAATCTCCGAGACCCATTTTTTTCGTTGATACGACTTTAGATAAATTAATTAATAATAACATGAACATATATGTCATCTTATATTTACAAATTTTTACAATGACTAACTAATCTTTTTGTTAGATATAATTGGACACGTCGCAGTGATTGGAACATTTAGACACAAATCCTCCAAAAGTCAAAGAAAGTGGGGTGATGTTTACGTGGAGCTTCGTAACGAACTGTAAGTTTATCAAAATATGTTTTTCAATTGCAATCATTGTAACTATCAATTTTTACTATATTATGTGATTATTGTATGCCCAACAGAGATGCTAGATTGCAAGTGTTATTACGGAACGACTATGCACTGGACCTGATGACTGCTTTATCACGGAAAGAACACAAAATCAACATATGTGTTATTCGATTCATCCAACTGTTTAAATTCGCACATGGTTGGGCAGCGATAACCGCGTACGATTGTACCGAAATATTATTAAACCCTAACCTACCCGAAGTCGAGAGAATGCGGACTACAATCACAGAATCAAACCATGGTGTTATATTAAGTCTTTGATTATTATTGTTATTTTTTTTTCGTGTGTCTTGTTTTCGTTTTTAGACTCAATAAACGACGGTACTATATAAAAAATCATAACTCTGCTTATAGCAATATTATTCCTTTCGTATACCTTATTTTCTTTTTCTTGTTTAAAATAAATTTTTATTATATATATACATATTTGTGTTTCTAGCACAATTTTGTATTGAAATCATAAAATGACAGTTTTTATAAATCATAAACAACACGCTAAAATGAGATTCTTTGCGAAACAGAGGAAGTTTATAGATACTGAATATTTTATTTATTACAATAAAAATAAATAACAACAATGTTTTTCAAGTACATAACTTATAGAAACGGAAAAAAAAATTAATATCTCCTACGGATACTGATCTACATATCCATCATCCAAAGGAGTAAAATCAACCGAAGTTTCAAGCCTGAAACAATATGTCAATATTACAAAATCATAAAAACAGATGTCAATAGAATACATATACAGGATACAATATCAAAGATGCAATTTACATACCTCATCTTTGCTATTGCCACTTCTGGTGTAGGAGGATCCTCGAGAATATCAGATATGAATCTTTCCGATCCAACTATCCACTAATCTAATTACATATACATATTCAGTACGCATGTGGAAACAATATATATGTTACACTTCTGATTAATTGCTGCATTAAATAGATATTAATAGTTAATATTTACGTACCTCTCCACCTATTAAAAGAGAAAAATCGCAATACAATAATATGCCTTGAAGACCTATCACGATTCGTCCAAAGATCTTCAAATTTTGTTGCCAAGTTATCCCAAGCAATACATTTCAAGGAATTCCTACTGTATATTTACACCAATATATAAGATAATTAACATAGTTTAATATACCAAGAAACACCAAGTCTGACACCCATTATTATGAGGATAAGTTGTACTTACCTGAAATCTTCAAGTATAAAACGAATAAGTGGACGCTCCGTGGGTGTATCCGATGTATCAAACATAGGAACTCCTCTTTGAAGTTTTTGAACAAAAGTGACAACCCCGAGAAGATCAACTGCAAAATTAAATGATTAAGTTAGAAAAAAAATCATTTCTCAGTTAAAGAGATAGACCACTACAATAACATGTGCATGTAAGAAACTTACCAAGATATCGGTCTGTTTAAATCGATGCAAGCAAAATATCTATGAATGGACAGAAAGAGTATATTTCTCTGGAAGACTTCGGATCGGTTTTCTCAGTGACTGTCTCCTCGTTCAAACGTATATGACAATTGTTTGATGATATACTTGGATGGGGTAACCTGTCGGTAACTACAAAATTACCAAGAAAATACCACTCTCCTTCGAGCAATACATACTCGAATTTGTCAAGTATTTCAAATGGCATGGTACACAGCATGCGATTCTCCTACATAGTTTCATTAAAAACGGTCAATAAACGATTACATTCCAAAAACATGTATAGGAATAATATTTTAAAATCTCATAAACTTACAAATTCATCAGCAAGAACTAACATCCGATTAGGGCAACCAATGAGACTAAAATCATAATAGTTTCTAATTACTTGGACACAAATATGATGCCGTTTGTCTTCTGAAGTTCAGAAACTCTATCACATGGAGACATTCTTTGTTTTTAGTTAAATTGGAGATGAAAGAGGAGAAAAATAAATATTTTTTTTATATATAGGATGGAGTTAAACGGTTATTATATTTTTAACCGCGGATTTAATATACGACGGTTTAGTTTGTAAAGGCGTGTTTCATATACTTAAGTAAGGACTCACGAAACTGTCAAAATTAAATGGCAATTGGTTCAATTGTGAACTTAAATATATATTTAAGAAACAATTCGTCAAAACTGTTCGATAATTATGGAAAATAATTATGAAAAAAACAGCAAAAATAAAAAGGAAATATTATATCAATTCTAATCAGCTAAACCTAATGCACGACATGGACTTCTAAAAGAAGGATAAATGGCTCCACCAAAAGTTCTAATATCATCAAAGCTACACGGACCCCTCACTACGTCTAACAAAATCCTAAGATAGTAATCTTCATTATACTCTATCGGTGATTCCTCTATAACACATGGACCAGGATTTCCACGTCGTCTTGGTCTCCACAACTTATTTTTCTGATCCCATACAAATCAAGAAGGTATCTCCGAGTACAAAAGAAATCTCGCCTCCGGGTAAACCTGGTTACACTTGATCCATGCATGGAACTTAGCTTTTCCAACCGGAACATATGCTTCTAAATCATTAGCAAACAAAACATGTCTTTCGGGAAGATAAAATGGTAAAACTTGCAATCTTATGCGTCGACGCCTGTGAGAACCTGGTCACCAAAGTCATAGCAACGAATCATTATTAAAATTAAAACAAAGGTTTGAAACATGAAACCAACATTAATTAAAAATACAGAACGACAACAAAACATAGCATAAAAACAATAATTAGTTTATGTATAGCATAATGACTACCTATCCCCTCCATCGCAGAGTCCAAACCAATAACTCAACTCGGAAGTCCATCGTATGTGCACATATTTATATATATATATACAAATACAACGCTATTGCTAATCAAAATTAATAATTTTTTATTAACAAAATAACTCGATAAATATAGATGAGTTCCATTTTTACATAAATAATTAATTTTATTATTTTATGATAAGGTAAACTTCCATTACAGATTACAATGGATCAAAGGATGTTATATTTGAAAATTTCCAAGTATAAATTTATATTGAATAGATAAGGAATATTGTCAAATTTCATTATAAAAAATCAGCAATATATATATATACCTAGGGTTAACCCGTGATGGACAATCTTATATTACGAATTTTCTCCTTTTTACGATTATTATTATTAGACGATATATCCTACATATATGGATCCTCATGAATTCTAAGATACCAATCATAAAAAGTCTCGACAATTTTGAAAACCTAAAACTAACTTTAAGTCACATTAATGTAAAGTATCAAATACGTCTCGACCATTTTGAAAACCTAAAACTAACTTCTTAGTCAAATTGATGTAAAGTATAAAATACGTCCATTTCTAATTAGAATTAGAATATATTACGATATTTATATTCACATATTCAATTTTGATAGACAAATATAAACTTGTATTTAGAGAATATACAAATCGTTTAAAAGTCTAATAAACTGGTATTTAAAGAATATATCAATCGTCTAAAAGTTTAATGTAACCGTTCAGGAATATTATATATTAAATAAAATCATTAATTGCCAAGACTTTATTGTTTAACAAACCAATGACATAAAAATGATGAAATAAAAAATAGATAAATAGAATGTTTTCTTGCATATACACTACTGAATAAGAAAAAAAAACGACCGATAGCTGATCCAAGAAGTGAAACCAAAACAGAAGCATAGCATCGTCTAGTACTCAAGACGTACTCTATCTCCCAAAGAAAAACAACAAAGACATCAGATCATCAAAATAAGAAGTTAATAATATACCAATATCATTAAAAACTTACTGTTCTAAGAAATCATCAACTTCTGGGATAGAAAGATTGAGCTCAAACGTAGTAGGATAAGTGGACGATATAGTAATTTTCCCTGCTTATATAAACACATACATTGGATCAAAACAACTAATATATAATACCAAACATAAATACGATAGTAAATTTTTTTATAAAAAATACCTCCAAAATAATCAATGACTGCCCATCTTAGCACACACACAATCAAATCCTGACCACAGAGCTTCCAAGATGTGTAAAAATCTCTAGCCATCATTCCAGAAAGCTCACAACCCAAACAAAAACCACTAAATAAAAACAAAAGAATATAGTAATCAGAACTAATAATACACATTACTAAATCATACACAAATCAATAATTCTGATAAAGAAATACCGTTTCTCCTTTAAAAAAAAGTAACGATTGAATATGCACCCCATTCACTCTGATCAGTATACTGATCAGATATCAGACCAAGACAACTCGTAGACCGTTTCACATCCAGGACACAACCTATCAAATCTAAGAAATTCAACAAAAGTTAGACCAAATAATCATAATCATCAACATAATAATCAAAAACCAACGCTTATAAGAAAAATAAACACACCAACTAAATAATCATCATCATAGACACGATCCAATATACTTTGGAAGTTCACGAAGTCAAAATATCTGTTTTCACATTGATGGGATGTCTTGTCAATGGTACTGGATGGTAGAAAAACTATCTTGTAAGGATGAGAGGCCGGTCTACAGCTACCATTGCAATCGATAACATCAAAAAGACCGATAACAATCCAACTTCCAACATCAACATGTGACTCAACACCAATCAAGTCGTTCCCTCGAGCAGTCGCTTGGATTTTAACACCCTTGAAAACAAAAAATATCATTATATAAGAACAAACAAATTTTTTTATAAATATGTTAAAAACACAAATATTTCTCTACATAAACCAACCACCTGTTCATCTGACAATATAACCTCAAAGAAGAACGTTTTGAAATTAGCTCATGCGTCCACGTCTGTAAGACCTTAACAAAGATTGTACACTGAACTTTCGAAGGTCTTAAGCGCGAGACACATCCTCCAAAACACATCGACCTAAGCGGAACAGTATAAGTCCAAGTGGGACCTCGGCGATCGGAGACACTAACGTCTCTCGTGATAAGTATTTCAGACGAATCGACGTTGGGATGATCATCTACGCCATTACATTTTTAGAATCATCATCCAATCTAATCCCATCATCATCATCACTATCACCCATCAGACGAATCACCATTATTTTCATCGTCTCCACTATCATCCCCATGAATGATCACTCGAGCCATCAGAGCCATCAAAACATTCATCATCGTTGACAAAATCATCATCAGAATCATAAATCATCTGTTTGATCTTTGTCAACAGTATCATCATGCGATCCATAATCAGAATCTATATAATCCTCGAAACCTAAATCTTCATCAGTTCCACGACCAGACAATATCTCAGTATCTTCAGAATGGGTATCATTAGAATCACCAACCACTACACAATTAAAACAAAAATTTATCAATAAATGATAGCGTAACATCAATCATGGATAAATAAAAACAGATATACTATGGTTTAGTATTTATATATACAATTAACATCGCCGGATCCATTGTTTATAAACCAAGCATTTCTCTGAAAATCCCAATCAAAGGTGTAAGGAGAGTGTTTATCCGAACGTCCACGTCCACAAACTAAGATAATAACATGCATGCATATAAAAAATTAATAATTAGGTCAAAGATTAATAATACAACGACAAAATTTAAAGCATCAGGATATTCAAAATTACCTTTTCGACTTAAGATCTTTTCATCAGAAACGGATATACAAATCGCAGAACCACGATCTACGTAAAGCAGTAAAATATCAAACTTTATTATAAAAATATTATCTCCAAAAGTACTAATTGTGAAAAATAAAAGTTAGCTCATCAAACCTTCAATTATAGGATTGTACGACCGCAGAACCCAAGATTTAATACCAGAATCCATGAGCAGCTGACATGGGTAACCTAGAACAAAACACAAATTTTAAAACGTATGAGAAGAAATTAAATACGATGGAGACAAACAATAACCTTTCTTTTTAGATATGTCGGTGAAAACGTAAGGAGTTACGTAACGATAACCCGATATTCCGTTTTCATCCATAATCGGACTCAAGAGATCGCAAGTTTCATCAAATGAAGACGAATAACCGTCAGCAAGATCCGGGTTCACGGAACCTGGTCATCGTATTAAAAAACATTTAGTATAATAAAGAGTATACACATCATTACTGAGCATGTGGGTTTAAAACATATATACCTGTTGATGCAGACGAAGCCTCCCAAGAAATCATAACTTTAGATGGATGAGCAAAGCTATAGTCAGAAGAACACATTGTTAGGATTGAATGCAAGTGAACAAACATCATGAAGAGCTTCAAAACCCTAGAAATTTTGATGACAAAACGTACAAAGCTCACAAACCAATTTATACACAGGAATAACCTAGAATTTAGACGAATATGTATATTATTGAGTGATACGGATAAATACAACCCTCTATGAGAATATTTATATAAGATTGATACGGATAAATACAACCCTCCATGAGAATATTTATATAAGATCAAAATTAACATTTTTTTATTAATAAAATAAACCGATAAAGGTAGAAAGGATCTCATGTTGATATGAACAAACAATGTTACCATTTTACGATAAATACAACCCTCCATGCGAATATTTCTATAAAATCAAAATTAACATTTTTTATTAATAAAACCAATCGATAAAGGTAGAAAGGATTTTATATTGACATAAACAAACAATTTGCCATTTTACGATAAAGAAAACATATTTTTCAGATTAAAACGGACCAAATATAAAAAAATATATTGAATAAATAAGGAATATTCCCAATTTTAATTATTAAAAGTTGAATCTGATAAAATTATATAAAAATAAAAAAGATATATAAAAATTCACACGACAAAGAGTTCGAACCCGCAATATACGTATAACAGGAAAGATCTCCTAACCAATTGTGCCAGAATATTTTTTTCGTTGATTACGAAGGTGTTTCACTTATATTGGTTTGTACTCGGATTTTCAAATAAAACTTTGGGCCGCCTATATTCAGATTCAATGCAAATCCATTAACGATCTCAATAAAAAATTTTGTAAAAATTAAAAATAACCAAAAATCGTTAAAATCAATCAATTTAAACCAATCAAATTATAACAAACACCGACCAATCAGAAAACTCAAAATTCATTAATCAAAACGACAAAAAAAAACTTTGGGCCGCCTATATCAAGATTCAATACAAATCCATTAACGATCTCAATAAATTAAAAATTACCAAAAATTGTTAAAATCAATCAATTTAAACCAATCAAATTATATTGATTTATAATCTATATCTCTTATATATAAAAGAGGGCCAACTTTATCCATATGAGTGACACATCATCATTTTTAATTGATATGGAGATGACATGTGTCATTTTTATAATTTAAAGCGATAATTTTTTCAAAAAAAAAAAAAAAATAATAAATTTTAATATGAAGTTTTAAACTACTCAAAGAAAATCAACAGTTTTTCATTAATTGATTGATATTTATTATATATAATTCTCAATTTTTTATGATATAGTATTTTAAAGTTATTTTTAAATTTTTTTTTGGTTTTTATATAAAATTTTTAAATTGTTGATAATAACATACTAACACACATGACAAATAAATATATTTTTTTTATCTTTATAATGATGTATTTAAATTGATTTTTAAGATTTCTTTTTCTATAAAATTTCTAAAATTGTTTATAATAACATACTAACACATATAATAAATAATAATTATATTTGATTTTATATAAAATTTGAAATAGTTAAAATGTAAAATATGTACGTTACGTGCGGATATTCACCTAGTATATATAAAAAGAGTCTTTTCTCATCATCCACTTGTACACCATTAAAAAACCAATCTAAATATTAAAATATAAATATACAAACATATTCACACTAATATGTATCTATATATATATATAAAGAGGGTTTTTCTCTCTTTTTATGCTGCCACCTCATCATCCACCTATACACAATTAAAAAAAACAATCAATCTAAATATTAAAATATAATATTCACACTAATATATATCTATTAAAAATACAAAAATATAAATTCAGTTCTGAATATTAAACTCTGAATACACAAACATACACTAATGTATCTCTATTAAAAAAATACAAAAAAACCTAAATTACTTAATAAATATACAATAACCCCGAGAATATATGTTCACTATAAAAGGAAATATAATATATTAAAATACAAAAAACTAAATTACATAACTGAGTATAAAAAATAAACTCAAGAACATATGTTCACTAAAAAATGAAATAAAACAATAAATATTTTTTAAAAAATGAAAAGAAATTGAAAAAAAAAACCAAAAAACACGGGATATAAGCAAGATAATGTGATGGTCTAGGGAGAGAGCCATAGGGGCATATTGATTTATGAGATGAAGAAAAAAATGAGTTGAGAAATGATGGAAGGAAGATGTATGGTCTAGGGAGAGAGCCATAGGGGGGGAGAGAGCCATAGGGGCATATTGATGTATGAGATGAAGAAAAAAATGAGTTGAGAAATGATGGAAGGAAGATGTAATCTGGTTCTTTCAAAAATGATTGTTTATATGAGAATGGAAAGAAGTGACGTAAAAGTAAGATATAATTGGATTTTTAACATTGATGATGATGTGTCTAAGGAGAAAAAGATAATCCATAAGGATACATTAAATCTCGTAACCTTCTGACGGTAAGAGGTAGCAACCAAAAAAAAAAGAGAGTATTCATAGAGTTAATGTCTATTTCACTATGTTTGTGTGTATGTTCAAACTTCTAATTGCGACTTCAATAAGAACAAAATAACCAAAATAAAAAAAATATTTCATTATATTTTAAATTTGTATTACAACATAAAAAAATCAGTAATTAACATTTTTTTAGAAAGTATAACATAAAACAATATTTTTTCAAAAAAACACTAATACTGTAACAAAGTAAAAAAAATTTTAGAGAACATATAAAATATATAATTTACATACATTAAAATTTCTATAAATATAACTCACGCGTAGCGTGGATCAAATTCTAGTGTTATGTAAAATGAGTAATTTGATAAAATTCTTATATAATAGTTTTGTGTTCCAGATCAAATATTATTTAAGATCTGTCCTTGTAATGATGGTGTGGTCATATAACCATTGGTGGAGACACCGTAAAATAAGATTCTCTTCTGTTATGCATGTGTGACGTAGGATATAATGTTCATTCTTAGAATGCGTGACTTAGATTTAGTTTTGTGTGGTTGTGAAGTTGTGATTATAAGTCGATTATGGTCGTGAGTCTCTAGAACTCATTCTTAGAA